TTTGTGATGAGCACCATTGGCTAGCTGTGAGCAGCTGATGAAGAAGGTCTTACATATACAAAATAGTAATTACCTTCTTTCTTCTCTAAAGGCCCTCCCATAGATCCTGATGAAGACTCTGACAACAGTGCAATTTATGTACAAGGATTAAATGACAATGTAACACTTGATGATCTGACAGACTTCTTTAAGCAATGTGGGGTTGTTAAGGTAAGTAAACCATAACCAGATGATCAGGCAGAAATTCAGATCACAGAATTTTTTAAAGAAATCAAAAAGCTGGGCAAGGTGACACATGGCTTAACCACAGCACCTGGGACACAGGCAGGAGGATCGTTGTGAGTTTAAGGTCAGCCTGAACTGCATAGTGAGACCCTGTATCAGAATACAAGAGAAATTGATTTGATGTTTTTTCTGACATTTTCTAATTTCTTTCTGCATGTCTTGTCTACTTGAAATACCTCTTGCCCCTAGAGATTAGCTTTTTTTTTTTTTTTTTTTTTTTTTGTCTTTTTGAGACAAGGTCTCACTGTGCAGTTCAGGCTGGCTTTGAGCTCACTTTGTAGCCCAGGCTAGTCTGGAACTCACAACAATCCCACCTCAGCCTCCCGAGTACTGGGATTACAGGCATGAGTCACTACACCTGGTTCCATTTTCGGATAGAAACGGTGCTAAACTCATTTAAACAGACTTGACAATATACAGTTGTTTTGTTTCGACTGGATCTCACTGTAGTTAGACTGGCCTTGAACTCACTGTGTGACCCAGGCTGGCCTTCAATTTGCAGTTAGCTCTTAGTATCCTGAGTGCTGGGATTACAGGCATGCACCTCCACACCCAGCCTTAAGGTCATTTTTACATTTTTCAGTTAATTGTGCAAGTATAACTTTAGGTGAAATATAAACTAGTACTTAACATACAGAGTTTTTAAGAAACATTTGTAGGGCCAGGGATTTAGTGGCATAAGCACCTGCCTGGCAAGTGCAAGGTCATGAGTTTGATCTGCAGTACAAAGGTGAAAAAGAAACATGTCCACCTCCCAGCATAAGAATTAGAGCTTTCTGAGAGCAGTACTTTTTAATCACTTTGCATATACCTGGTTGAATTCCCATCTTCCTCCCCCATCCTGGATTTTATTCTCATCTCTTTGTTTTGTTTTGTTTTTTGAGACAGGGTCTCCCTTTCTAGTTTAGGCTAGTCCTGGACTCATTATATAACCCTAGACTGGCCTCAAACCCAGTGATCGTCATGCCTTTGCTCTTTTCTGTTCTGTTCTGTTCTGTTCTTTTCCGGGTATCAGGGATTGAACTCCCAACCGCAAGCTTGCAAAACAGGTGCTTATGTTGCTAAGCTAAATCCCCAGTCCCTGACCTCATCTCTTAAAGATGTATTTTCATTACTATTTTTATTTCACATATAAGTTTATTAGGCATTGCTGTACTGCATAACTTTTTTTTTTTTTTTTTTTTCCTTTTTATCAGTACTGGGGATTGAACTCAGACTGCCTGCTTGCAAGGCAGGCGCTTATGGCGCTGAGCTAAATCCCCAGCCCCTTACATAACTATTCTTAAGAATGGGAATATACCAGTAACAGAATAATACTTAAGAGTTTATAATAGTGGGGAATGTATAATTAAAAAAAAGATATGTATACTAGGTTATAAATATTACATAGGAAAATAAAGCAAGAAGGGTAGAGATAAAATGAGGAATGGAACCATGTAGTCTGGAGTAGGACAGTGAGGGGGGCAATAAGGGCAAAGCTCCTAGGGAAGGAATTTGGCAAGTTCAGAGGGATCTGATGTGACTTGGTTATAGTCTGGAATATAATGGTGAGGTTAATGATATGGGGAGCTAACAGGTTGGCAGACAGCTTTAATCTCAGCACTTGAGATGCTAAGACGAGCATTGATTGCAAGTTAGTGGCCAACCTGGGCTACATAGTGAGTTCTAGACTTAACTTGAACTACACAGTGACATCCTGTCTCAAGAAAAAGATATGAGGAATACTAGGAGAAACAGTTTAGGGGAGGGGGTAGGTCAATAGCTTGTAAGTGTAAAAATTCTGTATTCTGCTCAAAAGTACATGATAAGGTGGCGCTGTGGCTCAATGGACAGTGCTTTGGACCTCTACATACATGATAATTTAGATACGCTTTTGAAAGGTCCAAGTTATTTCTGTACTTTGATTATATAAATATTGCTGCAGTGGACATTCTTATATGTGTTTTCTGGTACCTGAATTTTTCTAGTGTATATATGGTTGAATCTTATTACTTGTATAAAATTGCCACAAATACCAAATAAGTGCTGGACTATTTGACAGGAGAGGTAGCCTCATATATATATACACATATCTCACATTAAAATCTGAAATTCTGGCTGGGGATTTAGCTCAGCGGCATAAGCACCTGCCTTGCAAGCAGGCGGTCGTGAGTTCGATCCCTGGTACCGATAAAAATGAAAAAGACAAAAAAAAAAAAGAAAAGAAAAGAAAATCTGAAATTCTAAAAAATGATTCAGCTGTTTTCATTTCCATTTTACAAAAGAGAAAAGTTTAGAGGTGTAACTGATTGCTTCAGACTGCTCCACCAACCATGTCCAAGTAACCCAAGAGCTGTTTTTTTCTTGGACTGTGCTTCTCTGTCATGTCCTATTCCCTACTCTGGTTTTTTGTGTTTTGTGGTTTTTTTGGTGGGTTGATTTTGAGACAGGGTCTCACTGCTTAGTTCAGGTTAATTCACTGTGCATCTTAGGCTGGCCTCAAACTCATGGCAGTCTTCCTGCCTTGGCCAACATGCCCAGTTATCCGGTCCTTTTTACGGAGAACTGAAACTAGAGCACAAGCTGCTACACTGTTCAGCCTCTGCTGGGAACAAGCACATCTGTCATCTTAAATTTTCTGCCATCCTGCTCATGACTGTAAATGACCTTGAAAATACCATAGAGATGACATGAATTATTTAGCAAGCAGGCAGATTCACAGATACTGAATCTGTGAATAGCGGGACCAACCATATATATGAGAGAAAGTATTGGATTGTTGGAAAGGCCAGGTACTGAAGATTAAATTTGGGCTACCATGCATGCTGGACAAGTGCTCAATCACTGAGCTACATCCCCAAGTCTTTTTTGGAGTTAAATGATACTTTCAGCTGAGTGATAGTATATGCCTGTAATCCCAGGACTTGGGAGGCGGAGGCACGGGTATCACAAATTCAAGGCCATCCTGGACTACATTGCAAAGCCCTGTTTCAAAAAAAAAATGATATTTTGGTGAAAGCTATATAGAACTTCAGTTGATTTGCTACCTTATATAAGATGATTTTTCCCGTTTTTATACTTGCATACATGCCTACACACATGCATGTACCAGCTACATGATTTTAATTTCTCATTGTTCTCTCATCTTGGCAAGATGAAACCAACAGCATGATACAACCAACAAGTATGTAATCCCATTACTTTGGGTATCTGAGGCAAGAGGATCTTGAGTTCAGGTCCTGCCTAGACAACCTCAGTGAGACCCTATCATTTAGAAGCCTGGGAGAATAGTTTAGTTTTAGGGACTTTCTAAGTTCCCAGTACTACCCAGATACAAAGATGAACCCCACAGTCTTTGTGCTTTGTGTTTTAAGAGTTTTTTAAAAGATTGCATTTTGTGCCATATACATGTTTACCTGGGTATGTGGCCTTATTCCACTTAAGAAAGTAATGCTTAGCTAGGCGTGCTAGCACCCACCTGTAATCCTAGCACTCAAGAGGCAGAGGCAGGAGGATAGCCATGAGGCTGTCACACAATCAAGGCTAGCCTGTGATTGTCTAACAAGACTATCAAAAAAAATAATAATAATAATGCTTGCCAGCTGAGTGTGCTGGTGGTGTCCATCTGTAAGCTCTGTGCTCCGAAGGCTAAGATAGTAGAATAGCCACATTTGAGGCCAGCCTGAACTACTTAGTGAGATGCTCTCAAAATACAAGAAAAGTAGGAGTTGAAATAGGACACTCATAATTCTTTTTTGATGTTTATAGAGCCTTACTGTATAATTCAGGCTATCCTTGAACTCACTATGTAACTGAGACTGACCTCAAACTCAAGACCATCCTCCTGCCTCAGTCTCCCAAGTATTAGTATTATAAGCATGCAAAACCACACCTGGTTAAGACACCCATAATTCTAATACCTAGTGACAAACTAGTAGATCCCAGTAGAGCCATATCTGCATATGAAAAGTTAATATTCTCAACAGTCCACTTTCTGAATTTCATATAGACTTTTACTCCCAAACTAGTATATTATACTCAAATCCTAACTGCTAATTTTATGTATAGATTAACAAGAGAACTGGGCAACCCATGATCCACATCTATCTGGACAAGGAAACAGGAAAGCCCAAAGGTGATGCCACGGTGTCCTATGAAGATCCACCGACTGCCAAGGCTGCTGTGGATTGGTTTGATGGTAGGGCATTTTTACTGGCAGTCAGAACCCTGCTTGCCAAGAGCACTTTGGGTCTTTTGGCTTTTAGCAAATGTTGCATGTGTCAGTTTGCAGGAAAGAAAAGTTATTGTTAATATAGGATGCTGTTAGAATATCATTCTCTGGAAGATCTAGGAACAAAGGGGCTGGGGATTTAGCTCAGCAGCATAAGCGCCTGCCTTGCAAGCAGGCAGTCGTGAGTTCGATCCCTGGTACCGATAAAAAAAAAAGATCTAGGAACAAGAGACAGAAAATGCTCTATACATTGTGATAGGGTATGGCAGGAGGGAGACATTTGAGGGGCATGAGAGTAAAAATACCTATGCTTGTGAGAAAAGCTGCTTGTTCACTTTCCTTTAGTATTGGGAAAGCCAGCTGGGTGCAGTGGCACATACCTGTAATTCCAGCACTCAGGAGGCTGAAGCAGGAGGAACACTGCAAGTTCCAGGCCCACTTGGGCTACAAATATCTAATACTTACCTATGTATCTATAGACATATAGATATATATCCCAGTCACCTGGTTTGGAAATCAATTTATTTTCAGGTGGTGGTATTGTCAATCAGTCTCACTGAAAGCTGCACATGCTTCTCCAAGCCAGTGTTACCGGAAGATACAGAAAACCCTTTATAAGAAACATGCCAGGGCTAGGGGTGAAGCTCAGTGGTAGAGTACTTGCATACTATACACAGAACTCTGGATTCAGTCCAAGTACCACCTGGGGGGTGGGGGGGTGGGAAACAGTAAGCCAGTGTACATTTGAATATAACTATATTTTAAATAAAGCCTGGACATCAATGCTAGAATTTCACTTAACACACAACCAACTTGAAAGTGTCAGAACTTTAAGTCCTAGCTTTCCTTTCTTGGCTCTTGCCCAGTCTGTCTATGCTCTGCAAGGATCCTAGTACACATTTTGCCTCCTACCAACTGGCTGTACTTGGAATAGAGAAATGGTGTTTTGTTTGAGATTGTTTGTTTACTGGGATTTGTGTGGTTTTTGTTTTGTTTTGTTTTGTTTTTAGGTAGAGAGATTTTTGTATTTTAAAGCCCGTGGTAGTGGGGCTTAATGGTAAAAATCTTTAGGAGATTTGCAGATGAGGCGGGGTTGATATTTCTGGGGACACCAAGTTTGAGAAGTACTCAGATTGCTAGAGGAGAAATAGATTGTAGTCCCTCTGGGAGAGAGGAGTTGGACTTTGGGGTTCATTGATGTTACCTTGTTCTAGGGAAAGATTTTCAAGGAAGCAAACTTAAAGTCTCCCTTGCTCGGAAGAAGCCTCCGATGAACAGCATGCGAGGTGGCATGCCACCCCGTGAAGGCAGAGGCATGCCACCACCACTCCGTGGAGGTATTTACACTTTCCTTTGATCTGTTTCATTAAATGTTTTTCAGCCCAATCTTTGCTCTTGAGAAATTCGATTTGTGTTGAAATGAAGTAACAAAGTTATGTGTAGGCTTAGTACTGCACTCTTGAAAGCTGATGGTAAATGTTTATAAAATGTAAGTTAATTGGTTAGAGAACCTAGGAGCCCTCTGGCACCTCTCTGCTCTGGGGCTGCCATTTATTCTGTTTTAGTCTCATTGCATGAAAATGTGGGGCTAGGGATATAATTTAGTGGCACAGTGTCTGCCTGGCAAGTGCAAAGTTGTGAGTTCAATTCCAGGTATAAAAAAAAAATCACAGTGTTCTGCATGAACATGTGGTAGGATTATTGGGAGCTAAATGGACAGCCCTCTGGTACATGACTTGGTAGTTGTGGGCATGCTAATGCCTGTACTACTAGATCATTGAGCCTATAGGAGAGTTTATTTTCTCTACTTCTATAAAGAGATGATTGTTTCTTATTGCAGGTCCAGGTGGCCCAGGAGGTCCTGGAGGACCCATGGGTCGCATGGGAGGCCGTGGAGGAGACAGAGGAGGTTTTCCTCCAAGAGGCCCCCGGGGTTCCCGAGGAAACCCCTCTGGTGGAGGAAACGTCCAACATCGAGCTGGAGATTGGCAGTGTCCCAATCCGTACGTATTTTCATTATTGAGAGTAGTATAATAACTGCCACATGTGATGGCACGCACCTGTAATCCCAGTACTTGGGAGGCTGGGGCAGGAAAATCACCACAAGTTCAAGGCCAGCCTGAACTATATAGTGAAATCCTGCCAGTGACTATCCAGGTGGGAGCAGCAATCTGCCATCCCAAACTGTTCCATGTGGTCCGGTGGTTACACTGCTGCCTGTAACTCAAACCATTTTCTTGACATTTTCTCATAATGCTTTGGACTCCAGACCTGATGGTTATGGTGTTGAGTGCAAAATGTTGCCTTTGCTAATTTTACTTCTTTAGTTCATTGCTTGATCTCTACTGCAATATGACTTTATTCAGGGGTTGTGGAAACCAGAACTTTGCCTGGAGAACAGAATGCAACCAGTGTAAGGCCCCAAAACCTGAAGGCTTCCTCCCGCCACCCTTCCCACCCCCAGGTAGGTAAAAGTTTTTGTGATCATCATCTCAGCTTGCTAGTGCTAAACCTCTTGTGCTTAGTGGGCATAGTAAATTATAGCTACCCACCACTAAGAACCTTAAATTGTAGTTGTATTATCAGTTCTATAATGTCACCCAGATACTAAGATAGAGGAGGTAGTAGGATTATGGGGTGGGATAGAAGCCAGATAGCTATCAGAAAGAATTCTATGAATTTTTTGGCAAAGAGACAAGAAAAAAGAGTTGAGGTTGAGCACTGAGGATCATCATGAGTTTGGGGTGAGCCTGGACTACACAGTAAGACCCTGTCAAAAAGGACACCTCACTTCCATAACTCTTGAATTTGCTCTTTCAGTTCTTTATATCTGCTTTTGAGCCTTAAATGTTGAGGTTATGAGAGTCTCTGTTGGTGGTGTTCTGGGAGACGGAAGCAGGCCCCGTGCAGCGTGTCCTTGGAGCCTCTGCCCGCTGACTGTTGTCAGTTCTTCACTTAGGTGGTGATCGTGGTAGAGGTGGCCCTGGTGGCATGCGGGGAGGAAGAGGTGGCCTCATGGACCGTGGTGGTCCTGGTGGAATGTTCAGAGGTGGCCGTGGTGGAGACAGAGGTGGCTTCCGTGGTGGCCGTGGCATGGACCGAGGTGGCTTTGGCGGAGGAAGACGAGGCGGTCCAGGAGGGCCCCCTGGACCTTTGATGGAACAAATGGGAGGAAGAAGAGGTGGACGTGGAGGACCTGGAAAAATGGATAAGTACGTGGTCGGGAAGAATTGCAGGCTGTGGTGCCCACGCTGGGACAGATCCGTGACAGGGCCCCTTCAGGCACCAGCAGGGTCTTCCCCTTGCTAACCAAAGGGCTCTTTTTGATTTGCAGAGGTGAGCACCGTCAGGAGCGCAGAGACCGGCCCTACTAGACGCAGAGACCCCGCAGAGCTGCATTGACTACCAGATTTATTTTTTAAACCAGAAAATGTTTTAAATTTATAATTCCATATTTATAATGTTGGCCACAACATTATGATTATTCCTTGTCTGTACTTTAGTATTTTTCACCATTTGTGAAGAAACATTAAAACAAGTTAAATGGTAGTGTGCTGAGTTTTTTTTTTTTTTCTTTCTTTTAAGATGGTTGTTTAACTAAGATTTAACAATGGGAACCCTTGTGAGCATGCTCAGTTATCATTGTGGAGAACCAAGAGGGCCTCTAACTGTAACAATGTTCATGGTTGTGATGTGCTTTTTTTTTTTAAATAAAATTCCAAATGTTTATAAACAGTCATCCTTCTCAGCCTCTGTTCCACAGTCACATGCCTTGGCCCCCAGGGAGTAGGTGCCATCTAAACAGCTTGGGTAAATGTCATTTGAGTGAAAATCTGAAATGGTCACGACATGGAAGAGCAAACCAGCGCATTGTTGGTCACAGTAACCATTCTCAAGTCAGAAAAGATTTGATGTCTCCAGGTGTGGTACGCCAGCACTCAAGAGGCTGAGGCAGAAATACTACCATGAGTTTGAGGCCAGCCTGAACTACATATTGAAACCCTGTCTCAAAAAAATGGTTGGTGTCCAGAAGACAGTAGGGGGAAAAAAAAAAAAAAAAAGGAGGTGTCAACATGGAACAAGTTCTTCCCTCCTTACTCCTGCTGACTGGAAGCAGGGTCTTAGGAAGCAGCCCAGGAGGACTGCTGAGGAGCAGTCCCAGGGTTTGCATCTCCAAGGCCACAGTAACGATGCACGTCCCCTGCCATGGGCTGGGATTGACTTCTAGACAGGTTTCACATCCATGTCCCCTTGTCTGTTATAGAGTGCGCTTGCTCTCCCACCTTTGGGAGACCCTTAACCTGACATCAGTCTTTCCAGCTGTTAAACCATGTTCCTGTCCCTCCTACAAGGAAGTACGTATTTTGACTCTCCAGCTTCATCTTCCTCCTTATGAGTTGGAAACCGCTCTGATGGTCACCCATGTTCCTAGCACAGCGACATGAGTGGTAGTTCCTTTCAGTTTTCTTTGCTGTCCCTTCCCTAACCACTAAGTGCAAGAGGCCCCCAAGGCCAGTGTTCTCTTCCTCTGCCTAGCTGACCTTTCCACCACCACCACCCGCTGTGGTGGTAGATTGTCCCACAGCTGACGTGCACCTTTCTCCCACCTCTGCATGGGAATCTACGTGGGCCTGGCCCTGCCCTGTCTCATCAGTTTACTGGGAAGTCCAGACACTTAAGTCATCACAATTCTCAAAGCCATTCAGTAGCTCCCACCATGCTTGCTGTTGCCCACAAGGCATCTGTGCCCTCAGCAGTGCTGTTCTACCTTGCTCCCTGTGGTCTAGTTCCACAGGACAGTGCTGTTCCTCTAGGGGCCGTGGTTGCTCCCACCTCAGCCTGGCCTAGCACCAGGTCGCTGTATCATTCCAGGGACCACACAATGCCTCCCATTTTCCTCCCAATACTCTGAGGAGAACATGGGCATAGAGAATTCAAAGGACTTGCTGTTGGGGCTGGAAATTTAGCTCAGCGGCATAAGCGCCTGCCTTGCAAGTGGGCAGTCGTGAGTTCGATCCCCAATGCCGATAAAAAGGAAAAAGAAAAAAAAAAAAGGACTTGCTGTTGGAACCCCAAAGAGCTAGGCCTGGGGATGCACATTTGTAATCCCAATATAGAGCAGTGGGAGGCCAGCCTGAATTAAACCCCAAGGGAAGAGTTAGGAGCCTGTTTCTGAAAGGTTGGGTGCTCTGGCAACAAAGGTGTGATTAGTAATAAGGGACCCTGGGCCGTCAGCTCTCAGGGTGCTGCCATTGCACAGATGATCATGGCCCCAGGAGGCACTGCATAAAGCTGCCTAGAAGGAACCTATGTCCCTGCATTGAAGGGTTTGAGTAGCCCTGGTGTTTCTCTGAGGAAAAAAGAGAAGTCTTAGATCCAGCACCTGTTTCCAAGTCCCTTGGTAAATCACACTCAGAATAAAAATTCATGTGAGCCAAGTTACACCTCTCCTTTAAAAAGGAAACTCCAGCACAGACTCCTGACCCTACTAGGCCATCCCCACACAAGGACCAAAGGTAGGGCCAGTTTGAAGATAACTCACATGGACACAGAGTGGCCTTCCTGCCCCCACGGGAAGCAGCTTGGGGCTCGCAGGCTGAAGTGGCCGTGGGGCTGAGGACAGGGCAGTCAGGGCCAAGAGCTGGCTCCATCTCATTCCAAGTGGGCCTAAGGTGAGAAGCAAGCACAGTGTGATAGGGCAGGTTTGGAAGTGGCCCACTCAAGTGTTCAGATTTTCCTTCTTTCGTTTGGGTCAGGAGGCAGCTCTCGGTTACCTGTCCCGCAGCCATGGCAGGAGCAGACCAGCATGAATTCCTGTAATTAGGCACACATCTGGACGGAGCAGCCTAAGACCTGCCATTCCCTCATTCGGCCTGTGTGGGGCTTACAGCCTGCAAAGATGTGTGTTAGTACCGCACACATGTGCCGTGCCTGTGAGGGCTTTGCTGGAAGTCTCCACAAATCACCAGACCTCTAGCTGCAACTTCAGGCCTAGCAGGCTGCTCACTGGCACCAACAGCTGACACAAACCTGGCCACGTTTCCACACCAGGATCCAGAGGGATCAGCATGGGAGCTATGGCACTGCACACACAGGGGCCTCAGGAGTCCATGCAGATGGGCTTCAGCATCCAACACCCACCCTCTTGTCCCTCCGTTTCAGTCTTGGTTCTTAAGAATCAGGAGGACCAACATCATACTTAACTGGATGAAAACTAAAAAAAACAAAATTCTCAAATCAGGAACAAGACAAAGATGTCCCCGTCTCCACTCTTATTCAACATAGTCCTGAGAACTTTAGCCAGAGCAATCAGACAAGAGAAAGAAATAAAACAACAGGAAAAGAAGAAGTTAAATTATTATTTGCAGGTGGCGTAGTTCTCTATATTGAAGACCCCAAAAATTCCACTAAAAAACTGCTAGATTTAATGAGTAAATTTAGTAGCAAAGCTAGATATAAAGTCAACACTTAAAAATCAATAGCCTTGGGGGCTGGGGATTTAGCTCAGCAACAGAAGTCTGCCTGGAGAGTGCAAGGTCATGAGTTTGATCCCCGGTACCCCCTCCCCCAAAAAAAAGGAATAACAAACTCACTGAGAGAGAAATTAGGGAAATAACATCTTTCACAATAGCACCCAAACAAATGGAATACATAGGAAGTAATGCGTGAAGGAAGTAAAAGACTTTTACATTGAAAACTATAGTACTCTGCAAAAAGAGGTCCAAGTATCAGAAAATGGAGAGAGATCCCTTGCTCTTGGGTAGGAAGAACCAATGTAGTGAAAATGGCCATACTCCCAAAACTGTTATACAGATTTAATGCAATTCTGATCAAAATTCCAATAGCATATCTCACAGAATTAGAGAAAACAATCCTAAAATTCACTTTGAACCAGAAGAGACCACAAAAACAAAGGCAGTCCTGGGCAACAAAGGCAAGACGAAACCATCACAATCCCTGACTTGAAATTATACTGTAAAGCTACTGTGATAAAAACAGTATAGTACTGAAAAAAAAAATCAACCCAAAGATCGCTGGATCAGATTAGAAGATACAAAAACAACTCCAGACATACTCAGCCATTTTATCTTTGACAAAAGTGCCAAACACATTAACTGGAAGAAAGCCTCTTTAATAATGGTCCTAGAAAAATAGGCTCTGCACATGCCAAAGATTAAAATCAGACCTATACCTTTCACCATTCACCAAACTAAACTTGAAATGAATCAAAGATCTAAATATTAAAATAGAAACATTGAATCTTCTGGAAGATAAAATAGGCAAAACAGTAAAAAAAATAAAACTCTTGAAGACATTGGAACTATCAAAAAGAATCAATAACTAGACCTCATCTTTTTATTTTGAGTGGGGTACAGGGAATCAGCCTCAGGACCTCATACTTGTCAGGCAGGTGCTATGCCACTGAACTACATCCCTGGCCCTGGGATCTCATCTTACTAAAAAGCTTTTGCACAGTAAGAAAAACCACCAAATGAGTAAAAAGATAACCCACAATATTGGGAAAAATGTTTGCCAGTTGTTCCTTAGACAAACGATTACTATCAAGAACACATAAAGAACTTAAATCAGTCCTCCCAAATTTAAAGACCTAATCCAAAAATGGTCATCTGAGATGAATACACACTTCCCAAATAAAGAAGTACAAACAGCAAATAAATAAATGAAAAAATGTTCAACATCATTGGTCATTCGAGAGAGGCAAACTAAAATGACACTGAGATTCCATCTCATCCTGGAAAGAATGGCTGTTATCAAGTAATCAACCAATAACAAATGCTGGAGGGGATGTGGGGAAAAAGGAATCTTCTCCACTCTTGGTAGAATGTGGACTGGTGCAACCACCATGGAAATCAGTGTGGAGATTCCTCAAAAAAAACTAGGATTAAAGATTCCATTTGACCCAGCTATTCACCTTTATTTTCCTTCTGGGTATCTTCCCAGAAGAATTAAAAGCATCATACCACAGCAGTATATGAGAGCACTCATGTCTATAGCAGCAAAATTTGTAAAAGCTAGACCTTGGAAACAACCCAAATGCCCATCAACCAAGGAACGGATAAAAAAGATGTGATAATTTTGTACAATGGAGTACTATTCAGCCATAAATAATGGCTGAAACTGGAGACTTTCATAGGTAAATGGTTGCAACTAGAAACCATATACACATATGTAGACATCATGTTGTTTCCCTAGTATGAGAAGCTGAAAGAATAAATAAGATCCAAAATGTACAACAAATACTGTAAGATGGGAAGAAACTTCAAAACAAAATCTCTGGGATGGGGGAATGGAGAAAAGAAGAAAGAGAAAAGGGCTTCCAAAGGGAACCCTACGGGCCCTGGGCCACTACACAAAAGGGGATCAGACCCAAGGCCTTCCAGGACGTAGGCCAGGCTTTGGCTGTTCAGTGAGGTCTGCAGCCCACTGCTACATGTCCTAGATCAGAATACTATAGGCTATGGTATGGAACAGGCCTCTGATCTGATCACAGGACCCCAGCTTACGGGGACAAGAGGAGAAACACCTCCATCTGTTACCTTCCTTTAGAGCAATATTGGGCATACATGCCATCTCTGGGCCACGTGAGTTGTTAGGCTAGTATTTTCATAACTATGATGAGATTACTACTATTGTCTCATTTTATAGATGATGCATCTGAAGCTCCATTTAATCATCCCACCCAACAACCAATAGCAAGATCTAGATTCAGTCCCATCTCTCCTGTGTCCAGAACCCCAAAGTCTGTAAGGTAGATACAAGCATGAGTCAAACTCCTGCATTTAAAGAAAAGACCAGGCATGGTATAATCCCAGCATTCAAGGCAAGAAGATGAATTGCAAGTTTGAGGCCTGGGCTACATAGTGAGATCAAGGGCAAAATGAACTACAGAGTGAGATACTATTTCAAAACAACAACAACAAAACCAGGTGTGGTGGCACACCCCTGTAATCCTAACACTCCAGAGTCTGAGGCAGGAGGATCATTTGGAGTTTGCAGTGAGCTTGGGCAGGTGAGTCCAGGCCAGGCTGAACTACACAGCAAGACCCTGTCTCAAAAAAAAAAAAAAAGAAATTCCGGTACACATACACACACACACACAAGTTGCTGCACTCAGCCAGGTATGGGCATGTATATAATAATCCCAACTATTTAGGGATTAAAGGAATAGGCAGGAGGGCTGCAAATTTGTGGCCAGCCTAGACAATTTAGTCAGTCTTTGGCTCAAAATAGAAAATGTTTAAATGGCTGGGGATGCGGTACAGTGGTAGAGTATTGCCGAGCAAGCACCAAGCCCCAGGTTGATTCCCCGATATAAAAATAGTAATTCTCGGGGCTGAGGATTTAGCTCAGTGGCATAAGCACCTGCCTTGCAAGCAGGCGGTCATGAGTTCAATCCGTGGTACCAATAAAAATGAAAAAGACAAAAAATAATAATAATAATAATTCTTGTACAATTGCTGGCTGTTTCACTTTCTTTGGGCCTATGTCTCCAAATCACAAAATTGTAAAATGAGAATATATAAAAATACAGTTATTTATCAGGTTATTTAAAAAAAAAATTGGCCAGGGATATAGCTCAGTGGCACAATACCTGCCCAGCAAGTGCAAGGTCCTGAGTTCAGTTCCCGATATGAAAAAAAAATTATTTAATACCGAGTCCCTATTTCCCTCCCTCACCAAAACTGCACACCCTACCCCACCTGCAGCAGTTCTCAGCCCCTAACTTGGGAGTCAGACCTCACAGGCCTGACCTGCCCAATCACTAGCACAGCACAGGATCTTTTCCCCAAAAACAGACAAATCCAAGGCCTCTCCACCCCTCAGTGCCACCACTGCCACTACCTCTACCACCTGGTTTCCTTGAGACCCCACCACAGTGACAGGCCCTAAGCCAGTCTCCCACAAAGGCCCTCCTTGATCTGCTCCTGTCTCTCTGTCCTTCTCTCTGCCCCTAAACCCTTTCACTCAGAGCCTCCTTGCTCTTATACACACCTGGCACGTGCCCACCTCAGGATCTTTACACTGGCCAGTCCTTGGCCTAAACACTCTTCCACCAGCATTGTCTTCTCAGCTCTCCCCGACCTCTGACTTAAAACCTCAGCATTTGGGCCAGGGATCTCAGTGGCACAGCATCTGCCTTCCAAGCATGAGGTCCTGAGTTTGAATCCTGATACCAAAAAATAAAAAATAAAAAAAATTGTAGTCTTCCTACATAGCCACAGGCCTCTCTTACCTAACTCCGAGCTTTTTACCCCTAATTCAGCACCCCTGACATACTGCAAGCCCCAAAGCTGCCTCTGTTCAGTCTCCCATTTTTTTGTTGGCTACGTACCTGTCATTTTCCAAGGCATAAAAGAAGACCAGAAGCATCCAGAGTGTTGAGGGGATTTTTGAAACCATCTTCCATATAAGTCCTAACGACTCAGTTAATACAACGTTAGTCAATATCCTGACACCAAGAGCTCTGGCTCACAATAGGTGCTCAACAAATGCCTTTATCCTTGAATGAGGATTCACATTCAAATCCATGCTATACTAGCTGCTTTCTGTCCTGGTCCTGCACCCCAGTCCTTGCGAGATGTGTTCCTCGAGGACACAGAACAGGCCTGGCACACAGTGGGAGCTTTATTAAAACTCTGAGCATCTGGTTCATTTGCTCCGCCGCCGTCCCCGACGGCAGGGCAGCAGCCTACACCAGCCAGGCATCAGTGACTCCAGCCCGCAGCAGCAGGGGGCAGGATTTCCCGCTGGTGCAGGCCAGATCCCTCCTCTGCAGTTCGAAAATACCCAGCCGGGTTAACCCTGCCGCGCCTGCCGCGCCAGGCAGCCCCAACGCCCCTCTCTCTGTTCCATGCGGGAGCCCCTGCAGCCAACTCAGGGCCTTGGTCTCCGAGCAGCCCCTGAGCCTCAGGGTCCTCATCCCTAAAACGAGGCTCCTGTCCTCGGGGCCGAAACCGAGCCACCCTTCCCCTCGCCGCCGGCCTCAGCGGATCACCTCGGTTATCTGGCCTGCCAAAGTCCACTCACCCGGGACGGAGGTGACTCTGCAACCCGGGCCACTATCACTTCCTGACTTCATCCTAGCAGCGGTGCCGCGACGCACCGAGAAGGTCACTGCCGGGGAGGGCTCTCAATCGAAGGGTCCGAACCCCTCCCTGAGAGGCTATGGATGATGCACCGGGGCACAGGGACCACCTCGGGTCTGGGTGGAGCATCTGGACTGCCTGCTGTCGCCTGAGGAGCCCTCCGCTCTGTGACCTGGGTTTCCAGCTTGACTGAGCCGGGAGACTCCATCTCCTCTCCACGCCTCCATTCCAAGAGAGGCGCGGCGCCTTTAAGAGCGCGCGGCCCCGCCCGCCCCTCCCGGCCGGATCCGAATTCCAGGAGGGCGGGGCGGAGACGGCGGGCGGGCGAGGAGGCCGCGGCTGCTGCGGCCGCAGCACCGGGGAGCGGCTGGGCTCGGTCGGCGCCTCCCTGCGGCGGCCCGACCCGGCTCCGGCCTCCGCCGCGGCGATGCTTCCAGGGGCCGTGGGATGAGCCAGGTAAGCGCCGAGACCCCCAGCAACCCCTGCTGGGTGCGCATTGCCGGGGCCTGGAGGCGGCCTCTGATCGCCCCGGCTGTGTGACCTTGGGCGGCCCTGCTCCCTCTCTGGGCCAGGCCGGGATGACCACCGAGGCTCGTGGAAGCCATTGAGAATTGTGGCCCTTCTCGCTCGGGCTTGGGGCACTCGGAAGGCTTCTAGGGGGAGGCGGGGCCTGGGCCGAAACCAGCCGTCATCAGCGCTCCCGAAGCGCCCTGACTCCTCCATCTACTGCTCTGCGACCTTCCGCGAGCTCATATCCTTTGCGTCTCAGTTTCTTCTCCTGTAAAATGGGATTGACACCGGCCCATCTCTACTCGCCGTTATTGCTGTGACTGTTCTATGGTTATGTAGTTGTTAAAATGGCATAGTCCGTAGGAGAAGGGGGTGGAGGAAGGCACAGGCCCCTCACCATACGGGATGGGGTGGGGACCAGCGCTGAGTAGTGGACACAGCCCCTTGCCCAAGTCCAGACCTGGTTTCTCTTCTGTGACCTGGGGCCTGGGTCTTTTTTTTTTTTTTTTTTTTTTCATTATTGTAAACAGTAATGGTCAGTGAACTGGATATTAGAGAGTTTGCCAAATGCTTGGTATAGCTGCACCCACATACATTCTACCCAGAGATCGGAGCCTAGGTCTTTGGCTTGTGGCTAAGTCTCATCTTTTATGATGGTCAGTACCCTGCTTGAAAGGGAAGCTTCAGCCCGCTCCTAAACGCCACCCCTAGAAAGAGGCAAACAGCAGACGCACAAAGTTATGCATAAATATTTCTCCCACTGAATCCTTTGAGGCAGATAATGTTACCACTTTCCACAGGTGAGGAAACTGAGTCTGAGAGAGTTTCTCAGATTGCATTTAAACCAGGTATTTGGCCTGAGTGACAGGCTGGTCCCAGTGGCCTGTACTGTTTGCTGGGTTCTCACAGCATCCTTGACCTGTGTCTTTGCCCACAGTGACTTGGCTGACCCCGGGCATGGCGGACCCAGTGGCAGGCATCGCGGGCTCAGCGGCCAAGAGCGTGCGGCCGTTCCGCTCAAGTGAGGCCTATGTGGAGGCCATGAAAGAAGACTTGGCCGAATGGCTCAATGCCTTGTATGACCTGGGTCTGCCTGGCAGTGGTGATGGCTTCCTGACAGGGCTGGCCACAGGCACAACCCTGTGCCGACACGCAAATGCTGTCACTGACGCTGCCCGAGCCTTGGCTGCCGCCCGCCCAACCCGAGGTGTGGCTTTTCAGGCACACAGCGTGGCACCTGGCTCCTTCATGGCCCGGGACAATGTAGCCACCTTCATCGGCTGGTGCCGCACAGAGCTGGGCGTGCCTGAGGTGCTCATGTTTGAGACCGAGGACCTGGTGCTGCGCAAGAATGAGAAGAGTGTGGTGCTGTGCCTACTGGAGGTGGCACGACGTGGGGCCCGCCTGGGCCTGCTTGCGCCCCGCCTTGTACAGTTTGAGCAGGAGATTGAGCAGGAGCTACACGCTGCACCCCCAGTCCCCCATGTCCCCCGTGCTGTGGAGGAAGGCACTGAAACTACCACTGCACCAGCGGCTCCTGCCCGTGGACCCCGAATGACACCCAGCGACCTGCGAAACCTTGATGAGCTGGTGAGTCCTGCGATGCTCACACTGGGAGGCCGAGTCTGCTTGCTTCCCCAACACCGGAGCCAAATGACAGAACCAGTGCCTATAACCTATCTCTGAATCTCTTTGGCCCACCTTGGTACAGAATGTGCGGGGTGTACTACAGGAAGTATGCACATGTTGAGTGCCAAGTGTATACCTGGCCCCAAGGAAACAGGTAGGCTGGGAGAGGTGTTGTTTGAGGTCACACAGCCAGCCCATCTGGTCCTGGAACAGAATCCTGGTGCATATAGAGCACCATGTCTCCTTTCATGTGCTACATGTGCACCCCAAAGTATTGTGCAGTCCAGCTGAGGGGGCCACTGAGCTTGGGTATCGTCTCGATGTCCTCCTTACACTCAAGTGCTAGACAGATACATCTACAACCCCTGAGCTCAGTGCTGCTGCACTTGACTAATAGAAAGTACGAAAGAGCCTGGGCAAGGTGCCTGGCACATAATAGGCATTCAGAGTGCCCAGGAGCTCCCACAGGCTCTGCACACTTCTGGGAAGCTTTGCCCAGTTGCTACTGGTGGTGGGAACAGGAAGCCCTGATGGAGCTGTGAAAATCCTGCCCGGAACGTAGGAGGTACCAGGCCAGGCCCCCAGCTCCCTCCCACTGCCCCAGGACCTCTGTGTCCTTTCCTCCCCCGAAGCTGAGGCAAGAGTTTCTTTCTTATCAGGAGATTATGCCAAAATGTGCCTGCCAGGGAGAAGGCAGCTGGAAAGCCGTAGGCAGAGGCAGGCACCCCACCCCCAGCCTGGGTTTGGGCCTGGGTCACCCAAGGCTCCACCTGCTCATTTCCTCTGGCGCCGCTGTGGGCAGGGAGGAGGGCAGGGCCTCCCACAGAGCCAGCCTGGCAGCTCCAGGCCAGGATAACGTGTGCAGTTTGTGTGCTCTCCAGACGGACAGCCTGTGTGTAAATGTGTTGTCCCACTGTCTCTGTGGTACTCTGTCCAACAGCAGTGCTCAGCCAGGGGCAGGAGGGTCCCCTACACTGATGTCCCATAACCACTCCTCCCAAGGTGACAAGGGGAGTGAGGACTAGTTTCAGGGCTCCCCTAGGCTTAGGGGCTACAAGATGGGGCCAGGAAAGGGAGCTAGTGCAAGGTCATGTGTGGACCATATCTCCACCCCCCATTTTCCCGGAAAGACTGACTTCCTTCTGACCCTGGAGCTACTGACCTTCAGCCCAGGAGGAAGGACTGACCTCTGACCGACAGCTTTTCTCTGGCCTCAGGTGAGGGAGATCCTGGGCTGCTGCACCTGTCCAGACCAGTTCCCCATGATCAAGGTCTCGGAGGGGAAATACCGAGTGGGAGACTCCAGCCTGCTCATCTTCGTGCGGGTGAGAGGCGAGAGCTGCCCCAGCCAGCAACAGCCAAAAGGGTGGGTTGTTAGGCCGTGGGACATAACTATGACATGACCACACTGGCTCCCACAGGTGCTGAGGAGCCATGTGATGGTGCGTGTGGGTGGCGGCTGGGACACACTGGAACACTACCTGGACAAGCATGACCCTTGCCGCTGTTCCTCCACTGGTCAGTGCTGGGCTGGGTGGACAGGCAGGGGCTCCTCTCCCTGGCTCTGTCCCTCACTCACATCATGCCTGTCCTCCCACAGCCCACCGCCCATCCCAGCCAAGGGCCAGAACCTTCTCCCCGCAGAGGGTATCGCCTACCCCCAGCCCCCGCCCTGGCAGCCCAGTTCCAGGAAGTGAGCACCGGGGCTCTCGGCAGGAAGTGACTCCCATTAGTTTACGAAGCACAAAGGAGGGGCCTGAGACCCCGCACAGGTGAGATGCAGGATTAGAGTGAGTTGCCCTGAGGGCGGGGGTGGAAGCAGATTGGCCCAGATGATGAGTTGCCGGAGCTCCAGAGTGACTCACCCTGGGAAAAGTTCCTGTGGGTGGGGGTGGGTCTAGCTTCCCGTCTCCATGGCAACCCACCAAACCAACAACAGCTAGGGCGGGCCCTGGCAGCCAATCCAACCCCAGCTTCCTTCTTGGCGCCTGGCGGGGGCGGGGAGCAGACCAGAGGCCTAGGGAGAAAGAGTGGAGAGCCCGGGAGACCACATTTCTTCTGCTGCCTTCCGGGCCCTGTGTGGCCAAGCCTCTTACTTCTCCCTGGAAGTCCCCAGGGTGGGTAGATGCCTTAGTCCTCTTCATCTGTCCAGGAACTACCTGCCCTTCTGGACGTCTTCCTGTTCCTTATGCACTCCAGTGATGCCCACCCCCTCTTATTCCCCTGCCCCAGGCCCCGGGATCAGCTGCCCCCTCTTCCCCGCTCCCGCCGCTACTCCGGGGATAGTGACTCCTCAGCTTCCTCAGCCCAGAGCGGGCCTCTTGGTGCCCGCAGTGATGATTCAGGCACTGGTACCCGGAGGGAGCGGCCCAGCCAGCGGCTGACCACGGCCTCCCCAAGACGACCACCTCCCCCTCGCAGCCAGTCCAGAGATCGGCTAGATCGGGGCCGGCCCCGAGCAGCTCAAGGAAGCAGAGGGGCCCAGCCGTCTGCCCCTAGCCCCACCCGGCGGGCCCGCAGCCAGAGCCGTGAGGAGCAGGCTGTACTGCTGGTGCGCAGGGACCGAGATGGGCAACACTCATGGATGCCCAGGGGAAAGGGTGGTGGAGGCTCAGCCAGGAGCACCCCCCAGGCTTCCCGAGCCTGCAGCCCTGCAGCAAGGAGGCCTCCCCGGATCTCCAGCCCCGAGCCAGAGCTGGGAGCCACACCAGCCAGTGCATTCCGCACTCCCCTGCAGCTTGACCCACAACAAGAGCAACAGCTGTTCCGTCGCCTAGAAGAAGAATTCCTGGCCAATGCCTGTGCCCTTGAGGCAGCTGCCAGCCAAACCCCTGGACTAGCCCCTGACCTGGCTCGAGCTCCAGATCCTCCAGCTCCTGACTCAGCCTACTGTTCTTCCAGTTCCTCTTCCTCTTCCCTCAGTATCCTGGGTGGCAAGTGTGGCCAACCTGGGGACTCTGGCCGGACAGCCAATGGGCTGCCCGGGCCCCGAAGCCAAGCCCTGTCCAGCTCTTCTGATGAAGGCAGCCCCTGTCTTGGCATGGGGGTGTCATTAGATGCACCTGGGAACCCTTTGGCTGGCCTAGAACCCTCACAGAGCTGGGCGCGGGGTCGAATGGACACACAGCCAGATGGTAAACCCTCACGCATCCCCACACCACGAGGCCCACGCCGCCCATCTGAACCCACACAGCTCGGGGCCTGGCATGCTCTGCACTCGGTCACCTCAAGGGCCAAGCCAGATTCCTAATGTGATGGACCAGCCTAGCTGTTCCCAGATCCCTTTTCCTTTGTGGCCTTAACCTACCCTCCGCATCAGGGAGCCCCCTCCACTCTGGAGTACCAGACCTCATGGGACCAGACCCCTTGGGACCACATGGCACAATGGGACCTCTGTTGTACATTCCAGTTGGGGAATGAGTGTTGCTATTTAATTACTAATATTATTGAATGCCTTAGAGGAGGCCGGGCAAGCCCGGTGTCCTGAGGACCTGTGGTCCAGCAAAGCTTCTGACAGTAAAGTTTTGCTCCAGCCACCTGTCTGTTTCTTGGGGACTCAGCCTTGGGGTCATTACATACTTTTGACCATCCCATTACAAGTTGGCCTTTGGATGTTATTATCTACCAGGAAGCCAAACCTGGCAGCTCTGAGGGTTAAGGCTGCCTTGCCCATCCCAGAATAGACATCCCAAGTGCAATAACTTAAGTTGTTTATTACCTCACAAGAGGCGTAGCTTAGTGTGTGTCCAATGAAGTGCCAGAGGCAGTCTGAGTGCTTCCCATCGGACTCGGCTGTTTCCATCCAGTAGGACCCTGACCTGATGAGGTCCCAGAAACGTGTTATCTTTGTCCATTGAAGCATGAAGCTGGGCTATGTTCATTGAAGTTCAGAGTGAGGCCCTCGCCCCCAAGACTGAGTGAAAGCATTCCTTATCCAGTCAGGAATTTCCTTGTCCAATCTGGGTGAAGCTCAGCAATCGTCGATTCTGGTTACATGAGGCTGCAACGTGCTGGGTGCAGAGCCCCCTGCAGGCGCAAGGCAGGATGCGCAGGGCGTGCGCGCACCAGAGCACAGCGCAGAAGCTCACGGAAGAGACGCAGCACGTGCCAGTTATACTTGGCAGAGCACTCGAGGTAGCCGCAGCGCCAGCCCCTGCGCACCAGGGTGGCCAGCGCTCGCCGAGGTCCGAAGCGCAGTCGCTGCCGGTCTCGCTTGTTGCCTACCACGAGGATAGGAGCCTCGGGAGCGCCCGCTGGCCTGGGGGCCCGATTGGTGAGAGACGAGGTGCTGGGGACTGGACCCGAGGGCCAGAGAATCCCTTCCCCCTTGAATGTATACATGCAGGCGCATCCCCTGCAGCCATTCACAACTCCCCCCCAGACCCGCATAGGCCAAAGACACAATCAGAGACCTTCCCATGAACAAAGAAAGACCTGACCCAAAACCCGGCCCGCGACAGAGGGAAAATCTCTCTCCCAACCGGCAGCGGCCCGCCCAGACCACCAACAGTTTCTCACCGGCACCTCCTGCCGCATCCCCACCTGGTTTCCGCGATGCGCTGTCTCAAGGCCTTCACGTAATCAAAACTGTCCGGGCTGCAGATGTCGTAGACAAGCACGAAAGCGTCGGTATCCTGCAAGCTCCAGTCCTTAGGGTCCGGCCGCTCCTGGAGGTGGGAGGCTGTGGTTTGAGGGACCCTCCTTTCACACACTCCCACACACCCCAAAACATTTACAGGAGTTTGACACTAAACACAGTTCAGTGTGGTGAGGTGTGGTGAGGCACGCCTGTAATCCCAGCATTCAGAAAGTTGAAGCAGGATTACAAATTGAGAGTGAATTCTAGGGCATCCTGAACTGCATAATGAGACCCGTCTCAAAAAACCAAAAATACAAAAACAATTTAAAATAACCCACAGTTCATCCTCAGGCCTCAGTCACTTCGTGCCCACATTTTCGGGGTCCTACCGATGGCCGGAAGGGTAAAATGTGCCTGGAGCCTGTCAGAGCCAGCAGCCCCCCTTCATCTCTGGCTTCCTTTACCCCCCACCTGCCATCTGCTTCTTGCTCCTTCCACTTTTCCCCAGCTCAACTCTCCCTAGATGCCCTCAATAGTTACTACCGCCTCTAGAATAATTGCCAAGCCCTTGGTGAGGAGCCCCCATCTTTCACCAGCGTTCTGGGACCATGGCCTGCCAGCAGCTGGGTATGTTAAAATCTCTGGCACCTGCTGCTATTTCCACCTTAAATGCTTTCACCAGTTTTTTTTTACTCAACACTTCGCTCAGCCTTCCATGTTCATGTCAAATGCTATCCCCTCCAAAAAGAAGAAAGGATTCTATCTGCTTTTTTCCTCTAAATCTCTGGGAAGCATCCAGCTGCAAAGATTACAGGTTGGTCCTGGACTCTGCACAACTTCACTCCAGGTCACAGGAATGAAGGAGCAGAGAATGACCCACCTCAAAAAGTCCACCCCTTTCCCTTACTCCGTCTCTTCCCACTGTGGCTATGCTGCGGGCCTCAACACACGCAACCTTTAAACCAGTATCATCATGCTGCACCATGCGGTGATCCAAACCCACCAGCAGAGGCAGGCAAAGAAGACAAAAGCACCCACGGAACAAGAAAAAGTCTTAGCAAAATCGCTCGGTTCATCATTCCTGGACTTGGGCATCTCCAGGCCGGATGGGAGGGTTTAAACGCAGGTATGTCAGCACGCACATTCTTCCTTCAAACCCTGGTCTTGGGCGCCCTGGGGCTGTCCACGGGGACATGCACCGGTGCACCAAGCACACACACCCCTCACACGGCACAGAGTACAGCTAGCCCCTTAAATCGCTACCTCCAGACCTTCTCGAACCGCTACCTCCAGACCTCCAGGGCTCAGGCCAGGGCCAGCGACGTTGCCGTCGCCGTCGCCGTCGCGGATGCTCAGGTCGTAGACAGCGCCGTCGAGCAGCACCGCGGGACGGTAGAGGCGGGGCCCATCCGTAGGCTGGTGGCGCTCGGGATAGTCACCGAACAGGAACTGGCGGATGATGGCTGTCTTGCCCACTCCCGGAGCGCCCAGGACAGCCACCCGCAGGCTGCCCCCCATGGCCGGCCCGTGCCGGGAAGACTCATGGGCCGGCGCCGCACCGTGCGCTCCCAGCCGTGCGCCCCGCGCGCTCTGCCCAGTGTGCTCCGACCCCGCCGCGCTCGTCGTTGCCCACCTGAGCACCCGAGGCCGGCGGAGACCAGGCCGGAGGATGGAACTGGCGGCGAGAGGGAGGTCAGATAACACAGCAGGCAGACGGTGGCGGACGCATCGGCAGCTCCGGCGAGCGCCGAAGCTCGGGAAAGACGAGGCTCGGCGCGCCGCGCGCAGACACCGCCTCCGCCCGCAGCGCGAACGGAGGCACCGGCGGCAGCGCGGGGCCGTGAGGTCCCGCCTCCTCCCGGCGCGGGACCCTCAACGGCGCTACCTCTCGGCACCTGGATCCTTCCGTCCTGCTCGCTCCCGCGCGGGGAGTCACCGCCCGCCCCAGCCGCCGGCGTGAGCGAGCGAGACCAGCCTCCCTCCCGGAGGCGGTGATGAGGTAACCGCCCGCCCGTCCCTCCCACCTCTCGTGTTCCCGGACGCCTCTCCCGGGAAGGGTCGCAGGAAGGTGAGTGGAGGGTGGGGAGCCGGGTGGGAAGCCGGGTGGGGCCTAAGCCCCCTCCGAGATCCGCACTCTTCCCACCGGTCCAAAACAAAAGCGCCTTCCTGCCCACCTTAGCGTCTGCTTCTATCAACACCTCTCATCCAAATTGGCTCTAGACAAGCCCTAGACCCCTGGAGTCAGGCCGCCCGGGGTCGTATCTGGTCCCATCTGTGTGACCTTGGCGGATAACCTCGCTGCTCTGGGTTCCTGCTCTGCACCCATCAAATGCAGACACCTACCTCCAAGGACTTCTGCATTTTGTAAGAACCTACTAGGTGCCAGCAGACCCTTTTCTAAACTATGGGACCCTTGCACCTTCCGTTCCAAGCTAGTGTCCCTGTCTGAGAGAAGGGGAATGGGGCCTAGAGAGGATCTCCACGGTTAGAAGGCAAGGAGGTCCCAGGCCCTCGGCCAGCCTTGCCTTCCTTCTCCTCTGAGGCCCCTGACACCTGCCTCCCACCCACAGAGGTAAGTGGCCGCTCTGACTGTCTCAAAGGACTGACCCAGAGGAGAGGGAGGAGCTGACCAGAGGGACTGAGTCTGGCACACACGGAGTCACACAGCAGCTCAGCCCTAAATCCTGTCTCAACAAGGCTGAAGGTGAGTAAACATAGAAAAACATCCAAAAATCAGCGACACCACCTCCACTGCTGCTAAGACCATGTTTCTTGCAGGAGTCTTCACTAGTAGCTTCCCTGAAAGGAGTACAACCTCCAAACTAGATTCCGAGACTCCAGTGCCCTTTTCTCTGGGGGAGCTTGCAGGAAAGCACCTTCCCCATGACTCCCATTGTGTGGCTGTGCCACACTCCCGTTTGTATGGGGCAGGGAGGAGGGGGTCCCCTACATCTCTGCCCTCATCCAGGTACTAAATGAAACGCACAGGTGTCTGTTTCTGCACTAATGAAAGCTGTTTTTTGTTGGTTTTATTTTGTTTTGCTTCGTTAGTTGGTTCACTGTGCAGTTCAGGCTGGCCTTGAACTCAGGTTGGTCTCAAACTCCAGGTGATCCTGCTGGCTCAACCTCCCCAGTGCTGGGATTACAGGAGTATGATGATAATGTCCCTTCTGGCATGTTTCTCTTCACTCTATTTACCCTCTCACACTAGTTTTCACACTTCTGGATTTTAAAAATTTTCAGACTTCTGTTTCTGTGTCTGTCTCATTTTGGTTTGCAGTAGAGGGTCTTGCTAAATTGTCCAGACTGGCCTCAAACTTTTAATCCCTTTGCCTCAGCCTCCTCCGTATATGGGTTTGTTAGTGTGTACCACCACACCCAGCTAGGCTTCTAGGTTTTGTGACTGATTCCCTTCCTTTGGAGAAAAAGGTCAGGGAATAGATTCAACCCGCTTGGCATGCAGTAGGTTGTTGGAAACACCAGAGTGGTCTTGCTAAAGTCCTCTCCTGCTGCAGGAGCTTCTGCCCACCTTTAGAGTCAGTTCTGAGTTCTGGAAAGCTCCCTCACAACCTGTCCTGACATAGAGGCCTCTTCCTGGGTAAAGCATCTCTTGGGAACTGCAAAGAGGACTGTGTGTGGCCCCTGTGGACCGACATGGCTTCTTAACATGTACGTTTGGAACGATGGATGGCACTGTGAACTGCTAGTGTCCCAAGATTCCCACAAAGTCCTGCACACTGTGCAAAGCTGACACCTTCCCTGGGAGACTCACACCAGTATCACCAGCAGCAGGGACTGTGATGTGCAGCTCTGGTCCCCAGCTACTTTTTTTTTTTTTTTTTTTTTTTTTTTTGTCTTTTTCCTTCTTATTGGTACCGGGGATAGAACTCATGACTGCCTGCTTGCAAGGTAGGCACTTATGCCGCTAAGCTAAATCCGCAGCCCAGGAAGGGATTTTAGAGAGGTCTCTGTCATCTGTATTGTCTGAGCTTAGCTATGGAGTGGGTGGCCTGGGTCAGGCTTCCCAAAGATCAGCAAGCAGGCAGTTTGGGCTGCCTAGAATGTGGATTTCAGAGTTTCCCTCATCAGTCTCTTCTTCCCAAAAAGGGACTATAGGCCTGCCGCCTGCTGCGCCACACCAACCTCTATTCCCCCCACCCAGCTTGCCCTCCTCATAGGTTTCTGCCAGCATTTTAGTGAGTGCCAAACACACCAACATCTTCTCCCTTGGCAGAGGGGATCTGGCTCTGTGGGGCACAGAGTGGCCAAGTCAGTAGCTCTTGCCTGTCATGTGAGGGAGACAGACATGTAGCCAGGGACAGATAGATGGAGACAAGAGCTCTGGGCTGGCTGAGGCTTGGGAATATTCCACTTTGTATATGCATGTGTGTAGAGTATGAGGGATTGAACTTTAAAAGTGCTAAGCTATGTCCCTTCCCTTTCCCTTATTATTTTTTATTTTATTTATTTTTGGGGAGAGCAGGGATCAAACTCATGACCTTGCACTTGCCAGGCATGCGCTTAAGCCAGTGAGCTAAATCCCTGGCCCTATTTTTTTTCTTTTTTTGAGGCAGGGTCTCACTAGGTAGCCCAGGCATGCCTCAAACTCATAATGCTCCTTCTGCCTCAGCCTCCTGAGCGTTGGGATCACAGGTGTGCACCATTATTCTCTTCCCCCTTATTTTTGAGACAGGATCTTACTAGGTTGCCCAGGCTAGACTTGAACTTGCAACTTTCTCAGTAGCTGGGATTACAGTGTGGTATGTACTACCACACCTGGCATATTTCCACTCTTTTAAGTAAATAGCTACTAGTTATAGGAGATAATGGGAAATATGTACATATTCATGGATAAGCATGCACACATATGTTTTCTAGCTCTGTCAGCTCAGAGGACATAAAGTAACAGCCTAATAACATAATCATACTCAGCCCCTGGATCTTGATTTCTAACTCCACTTCCAGTGACAGGAACCGGGCCCCTTAGGAAAATGGCTGATAGTGAGATTGGGGCAGGACAAACACAAGATAAGCTCCTAGTGTCTTGTACTGCCAGGAAATAAGGATGTGCTGCACATACGTAAGTAAAACGATGGTAGCAAGTCAAAGGGATAGAGGAGTCTGCAGGAAAGAGTTCCCAATAGCCAAAACAAACTTAACAAGCAACAAAATAAATTACATTGTGTTGGATTAAACTCGAGTTATAAAATAAATACCTGGAAGTCCAAACTAATAGAAATGTTCAATTGCATAAATAAATGTGAAAGAATTTTTTTTTTTTTTTGTACTTGGAATCAAACTCAGCACCTTGCACTTGCCAGGCAGGTGCTAGGCCACTGAGCTATATCCCTAGCCCCAAAAGAAATTTCTTACAGGAGAATTCCAAAGCCTTTGTGTAGCTCCTCCCTTCCACATACCTTTCCCAAGTGTAGGTTGCATATAGTATCTGCTTCCAAAGAGAAGGGGAAAGAAATGGGGGAAGTTTCAAAGTAAGACAGCCTTCAAACACTTCCCTTGGGCAGGGGGGATTTAGCATGTCATGAGAAGGTTAGCGGGTCCCCCTGAAACAATGTGATGAGAAGGTCACCTTTATGGTTCTCTTGCTAAAAACCCATGAGCCAGCAGGTATGGTAGCATATGCCTGTGACCCTGGCTTCTCCACAGGCTGAAGCAGAAGGGTCAAAATGCAAGGCCAGCTTAAGCAACTTAATGAAACACTTTCTCAAAAAAGTGTGAGGCTGTAGCTCAGTGGTGGACTGCTGGTCTGTCTTGTGTGAAGCCCTGGGTTCCATCCCTAGAATTATAAACCAAAACCAAAACTAAATACCCATAACCTCAGGATGGCTGTGAAAAAAGTATCAGACATGGGCTCTAAGTATTTATCGGAAAAAGAAAAAAAAAAAGTATCAGACAAATCTGAATTGAAAGATATTCTACAAAGTGGCTGACTTGTACTTTTTTGTTTTTATTTTTTGAGACAGAGTCTCACTATGCAGTTCAGGCTGGCCTTAAACTCACTGTAATCTAGGCTGGCCTTGAACTCACAGTGATTCTCCTGCCTCTATCTTCTGAGTGCTGGGATTACAGGTGTGCACCACTATGCCCAGGAGACCAGTGCTTCTTGAAACTCATGCTTATTTATGAGACAAAAAGTCTTTGAAAAACTGTCACAGGCAACATGAGGATGACAATAAAACATGGGGTTCTGGATTAAAAGGACACGAGAAGAAAATTGCTAAAATCTGAATAAAGTCTGAAGTTTAGTTTAAAAATTGTTATATAATTTGTTATTTATTTTTATATTATAAATGTATATATATATATTTTTTTTTTTGGAGGGTTTTTTTGTCTTTTTCCTTTTTATCGGTACTGGGGATCAAACTCACGACTGCCTGCTTGCAAGGCAGGCGCTTATGCTGCTGAGCTAAACCTCCAGCCCCCTTTTGAGGTTTTTTTGAGACAGCGTCTCACTATGTAGTTTAGGCTGGCCTTCAACTCACTGTGTAGCCCAGGCTGGCTTTGAACTCACAGCAGTCCTGCTTTAGCCTCCCAAGTGCTGAGATTACACATGTGTGCCACCATGCCCAGCTAAATATATTAATTTTATATTCAAGTATTACATATTTATAAACATTTACATTATAAAGGTAGATGGAAAATAAAGAAAGAGAGCCATCTACAGAAGTAATTGGAATGGAAACTACTCATAAAAGCATTGAGAATAGGGCTGCAAATGTAGGTTGGTTAGAGCATATGCTTAGCATGCACATGATGCTAGATTCCATGTTCAGCACAAATCAATAAACCAATAAGTATTCATGAATGATGTTTTTTTGAGACAGAGGTTGTCTAAGACAAAATACCTGCCACCCAAAATGAAGGAAGGAAAGGTTAATTTAGCTCAGAGTTTGTGGAGATTTCA